CAACACCACCACCACCCCCACCACCACCACCACCACCACCACCCACCACCAGCACCCACCACCACCACCACCCCCACCCGCCACCACCCACACCCCACAACAGCCACCCACCACCCACCACCGCCACCACCCCCACCGCCCCCACCACTGCCACCACCCACCACCAGCACCCACCACCACCACCACCACCACCACCACCACCACCACCACCTCCACCCACACCCACCGCCACCCACACCCCACCACCCACCACCACCACCACCACCCACCATATACACATATACATTTACATATACACACACATATACGTATATATATATATATATATATATATATATATGCACATATGCAGTATATACTGCACACACACACATATATATGTGTGTGTTAACATACATGTGTTGTATATTATGGGTTTCGAATATCATATATGCACATGTATATGTATATATATATATATATGTGTGAATCGAACCCTGAATATGTATGTTAGTTTATGTGTATATATATATATACATACACATGGTTTTTTCTACATATATAGTCGAACCCTGCAAGTCTCACTTTAAAGAGTACTTATATGCATGAATAAAATTGTTCAAGCAACAACAAGCAGAAGGAGCTTCTGCAGCTCCTAATATGTTGCTTATATACTTTAATTGAGGAGGCTCCTTTGAAGGCCTCCTGGCAGTTGCTGTGTTGCCTTTGCATGCAACATGCAGTCGGATCGCACCTTTGCACTTACTGCTCTGCCTGCCGCAGAGTTTTGGCTGCGAGCCTCGCTGTGCCCTCTGCCCTTAGTTTCCTCAGCTCGTCCCTTGCCAGCCATGGTTAAGGCCAAGGCTGCCGCCAAGGCCAAGGTGTTGGTGAAGAAGGAACCCGGCACGTCGGCCGAGGACAAGAAAGACTTGTGCAACTTTTTGACCCAGGTGAAGGGCAGCGACCAGCCAGACAAGGTTGCGGTGTACAAGCACTACACAAGCCTCGGCCGCTACGACAAGCAGAAGAAGGAGTTGCTAGCTTTGTGGAAGAGCGACAAGTCTTGCAAGTGGTACGGGAGTTGGTCGAAAAGGGTGACTTTCACCGAGAATGAAGAAGCCGAAGGTCGCACAGGTTTTGGTACCAGGATCCCAGGATGCATTTGGGGCTTCTGCATGTGGTGCTTCTGCCTTTTCTTGCTGCTTCGTTCTGATCTTATGGGGCATCTAAGGTTCCAAGTTGCCAGCCTGCTGGAGATGCCGGCAGATTCGAAAGAGTTCCAGGCAGTGGAGAAGAGCCTTTTGGCTCAGGACGGAATGGCAGATGATCAGTGGGACGACAAGGATCCCACCCAAGTGGCTTTTGCCAAGGCCAAGTTGAAGCGGTTCCACTTGGGCAAGATCGCCGTGACGTTTGGTAAGACCACCGCCGACAAGACCTGGAGCGAGTCTGTTGAAGCCAATCGGCAGACTGGCAAGGCCTCAGGCGAGCAGCTCTCCAGTGTTCTGGACGTTGTGGGAAGAACAGGAGGAACCAGTGAGGCTGGATCCTCCTCGCAGGGGGCCGAGGTCAAGACCCAGGAGGATCTGAGGTTCGAGAAGTACCAGAACCAGGTTGCTGTCTTGTCTACTTCCAAGAGTATCTTCTTTGCATTTAAACTAGGTATCATGCATGCATGTTTTTTTGTTGCATATACATGCACACAGATTATTCTTTTCTATATATATCGGTCTCAGGTGCCGTGGAGCGGGACCTCCAGAAGCTCACGGCTATTGCTGCTCGCCTCCGCCATCGTAAGGATACCGCCCTCGCCAGCAAGGCTGCGGAGCTGAGGACGTACCATACCGAGCAGCTGCTTTACCTCGACGATGCCACAATCTTCGTGGGAGCTGCCGAGGAAGCCCACAAGCACGAGATCGGCGATGCGCAGATGGAGGTCTTGCAGGGCCACTTGGAAAAGATGGGCGAGCTGGCTGGGGCAGTGAAGGACAAGTTGAGGCGGAACTCGGCACTCTTGTAGCTAAGCCCCCCGGTTGAGCTAGGATCGTATGATAGGATGCATGCAGAGCAACAGCCTCGCATGGTCCCGAGGATATCTTCGGTCGCTACAGAAGTTTTGATCAACCACGGCAGCTTCGCTCGCTCTGCAGTCAAAAAGGGCCCTGCATGCTCCAGCTTAAACTTTGTGGTCCGAGTGCAGTGCATGCATGCATGCTGCAAGCTATAACCTCACACACCTAGCTGCTGTTTCGAGCTTCGAGCATGCCATGCAGCGCTATAGCATGAGGGTCATCGTCGGGCCATGTTTCACAAGAGAGAGAAGGAATACCGATCTGCAGATGTTCCTCCAACTAAGCGGCTGAAGGCGAACATCGGAGATCTCTTTTTAGCGAACCAGACATCGGGACAAAGGGCTCAGGAGCTGTTCGAGGATGCAAATGCAGCTGGCCTTACTCAGGCCAAGGAGCTTTGCAAGGGCCTGGGCAGCGACTATGCAGTCAAGCTGATTCAGAGCCCGAATGCAGCTCGCGACTTGTCTAGGAGGCTTTTGAAGCGATGTCTATGGCCTCATGTATACTTCGCTTCTATTCCGGTACTGGATTTGAAGAAGCAGACCGAAACAACAATCGACCTTCCATTTTTGCTACCCCATGACCATGCATGCAAAAAGGATTTGCTGCAACGATCCGGCATGTGCGAGGCCAGTTTGGCCCATCTCTTGAAGATGGAGCAAGAGTTTGATGCAAGCGGTGCCTTAGGAGTTGGCCTCTGGATCGACGGCACTCCTTATTCCTACGACCTACGATCGTTTGTTGAGCCTTGAGTCCCTGGTTCTCAACTTTCCAGGGCTGGGTGAGGCCAACAAAGGCCTCAGGCTTCCGATCACCGTCATTCCCAAGCATTTTTGCATCAAGTTTCGAACTTTCGATTGCATTCTGGGAGTGGTGGCCTGGAGCATGCAACAAGCATGCATGGGGATCATGCCCAGAAGAAGGCATGATGGCTCAGAGTGGTCGCAGGACTCTGATGCAGCTAGGGCGAGATGGGGTGGTTCCTCCATAGGCCTGCGAAGCTTCTTACTGGAAGTAAGAGGAGACTGGGCAATGCGAAAAGATATTTTTGCTTTTCCCGGCTGGAAAGAAAACACTGGGATTTGTCACGTTTGCCGCTGCAACACGGAGACCATGGACCAATTTGATGCTGAGGCTGAGTGGAAGGTTCAGCCTCCCTTGGAGCACTGGGAGCTGATGGACAGGATCATGTTCAGAGGCATGCACATCAGCCAGGTGTTTGGTTGCCCTGGCCTGACTGCGAAGCAGATCTTATTTGATTGGCTCCATAATTTCGATCAAGGCATCACCGCTGACTTTTTAGGAAATGTTTTTTATCACCTGATTTCTCAAGAGGGTTACCTGCCAGGTACCAGCAGGCCTCAAAAGATCAAAGAGCTGTACAAAAAACTCCGGCAGTACTACAGCTCAGATGGCAACATGAGCACAGACAGTCGGCTCAACACACTGACTGAAACGATGATCCGCAAGACGAGTACTTCCTCGCCGAAATTGCGAGCCAAGGCAGCAGAGGCCAGAGCTTTGGTACCCTTTGTGCTGCAGTTGTGCCAGGAGGCTTTCCCTCCTAATGCATGCACTGAGAAAGAAGCTTGCATCAGAGAAGCTGCCGTGAGATTGCAGGATTGTTATGCCATGCTGCAGAATGACAGGTACAACCAGGAGGCCCTTGTGGCATCTTGTACACAGTTTTGCCTTTTGGTGAAAGCCTTGCGAGATCCGGAAGCATGCTTCTGGAAGATTAAACCGAAACACCACGGTGCCCTCGAGGTCTGCTTGCAGCAAGGAAGTCCCAGCCTCACGTGGACGTACAGAGATGAGGACATGGGCGGATACCTTGCAAGCCTGGCCCGATTGAAGGGCGGTTCGCACAACCCCAGATCTGTTGCCTTCTCTGTCCTGCAGAGGTGGAGGGCCAAAGGCCTGCCACATCTTAATCCCAGCTGATGTCGATCCACGCAGCTCGCGAGATCACAAAGGATTCGTTGTGCATGCATGCACGTAAGAGCCATAGCTTAATTAATATATATATATATATATATATATAGCAGCTAGGAGGCTCTTCAGCCTCCTCTATAGGAGGTTAGGATACCTCCTGCACGAGCTCAGGTCGTGCCAAATGTACAGTGTTTTCTGCAAGGGAAGCCTCTCAGAAGGTTAGGGCCCACCCTCCTGCACCTACATGTAGCTTTTTTCTGCAAGGGTCGATCCTTTAACATGCATGCATGCATGTGTGTATATATATATATATGCATGCACACACATGATCTATAAATATTATATACCTTTAAAATACGGTTTATTAAAACACCTTAATTAAGGTATATGTGTAGAGTCCTTAATTAAAGCTTTCGACACTATTTTAAGGTCTCGTACAAGCTTTTAAATTAAATAGAGTCTTTTGGAAGCTTTGGGTAGCAGTAGCAGTAGCAGTAGC